TGTGTGTGTGTGTGTGTGTGTGTGTGTGTGTGTGTGTGTGTGTGTGTGTGTGTGTGTGTGTGTGTGTGTGTGGTGCGCGCGCGCGCGCGCGCGTGATTGTATGTGTATGTGTCATATGTTGTATAATGTGTATATATGTATGTGTGTGTCTGTGTGTGCGCGTACGCGCGATTTACACGGGGGATGATGATAGATCCCTACGACATAGCGTATTTCTCTTGACAAACGAGAGAATGGGAGAGAAAGATTGAGAAGAGAAAAGAATCGGGATATCGTAAACCGAAGCTCGTACATGTTATTTATCGTATCCCGACTAAAGATACGCGTGCAACGCGTACAAAAAAAATTAATTAATTTTTGAAAAAAATCCACGCGGCTTATACTTTTTGGACGTCAATTTTCTCTTAAAATTTATTCAAAACTTTGGAAAACATGGAACATCCGTAGTACATGGAAAATCCGTAAATAGTTTTTCTTGAAATTTTTGAGAAAAGTTCTATATTTTCAAATTAATAATTACATTCAAATAAATACAAGACAAACTCTACTGTACAAAGAAGGCAAGAGACAAAAGAGTCGTGATGTATTCAAACGGGTAAGTTAGTGTCGGGTGTGTGACGTGGACGTGTACGTGTTAGACCGTTGTGTTTTTTCGCAAATGCGAGTCGAATAGAAATAACATCGCTATACGTATATCAAATTTTAATTCTTCATAAGAATATATACGTAGGACTCTCTTTGTGCGCACACGCGCGCGCTTATCATCTCTCTACCATTGTACAAAGCAAAAACGTTATTAATATTAGTAACATCACGAGAGCACGTGGAGCGCTTAGGCTTTATTCATTATTCTAATCGATAAACGTTCGTATCAACGTTATTACAGTAAGGCGATTTGATTTCTCTTCATCAAGCTCGCTGGTTGTGTATATTATTTTTTTCTCTCCCGTTCACGCCTCTTTCGTTTTCCGATATCCCGACACGATGAGGTCGAGCAGGTCGATTTCGAACACAAGCTGATTCGCGACAGTGTTCGCATAAATACACGCAGAACGAAATAACGAATAGACTAATGTCGCTACGACTACGAAGCTAGAAACGACTCTCGCGTACTTTCGCGCCGCCTTCCTTTCCGAACGATCAATCGACGATCGTGAAATCACTGTGCTGATCAAGATAAAGACTTGACCAGAGGATTCTCGAGCCTTGTTATCATCTCGAAAAAAAAATCGGCGCGGAAAATTTCATCAAAACACGTCGGTTATTCATAATAAAAATTATCGCGATGCAAAGCTTCTTCTTTCTTTTTTTTTTTTGTCTATTTATAATTTTTATTACGTCTCCCCGCGATCTCGTCTCTCGATGTGCGAAGTTCTCTACCGTCTGCGTGCTGCATTCGTTTCAAGCCCGAATTGTCGGCCAGTAAAATCGCGACGACGGTATTATGGCGTGCAACGGAATTCGTTTGACGGATTCCGCGTCGGAAGTGCATCTTGCTCCTCATCCTTTCTCTCCCTCCGCTCCTCCCTCCGCTCGATCCCGCTTTCATTCTCGTCGTCGTGAAGCCGCGCGCTTTACATCAGCTTCATCTTGGCGCATTCAGGGCAGATGATGTCGTCGCCGTCGGTGATGAAGCCACGTCCGACCAGCGAAGTTTTGCAGCCCGCGCAAATGAAGCAATCGTTATGCCAGTGCCTGTCCTCGAATGAGATAAAGCGAGTACCACCGATACCTGCAAATTAATTAACGCAAATCGGCGCTTAGATCGATTCAATTCAGTTTTAGCTTTAGAAAACTTAATTAAAAAAAACGCGTATATACTCATTAAAAATTCTATTGTCGAAAAATAATGGGCACACGCCTATTATTGAACTATTGACTTATTATTGTTCAGAAAGTCAAATTTATTTAATTTATTATAATTGTTTAATTTTTTCAGAAAAACTCAATTTCTTAAACTTTTCTAAATAATTTGTAATATTGTATTTATTGATAAGAAAAAGGATTTTTGCTAATGTCATACCGGTGATCGGCTTGGAGCAAGCAGTGCACCTCTTGGCGAAGAGCTCGCCGAAACAATCGGCGCAGTATGGTTTGTCATCGCGCGATGTGAATCGTTGTCCCGCCAGGGAGTTGTTGCAGTTGCTGCAGGTGAAGCAATCTCTGTGCCATGGCTCGTTCTTGTATGTCACGCCGCCGCTGGTGATGATCTGCAAACCAGAAATTTTCGCGATATTTTATAGAACAGGTTGCTTCATCGATTCATTAGACTTGTCTTATTACGATGAATTTTATTCATATTTATAAGCAACTGAGCAGAATTTATTTCTTGGAATTCAAGATACACAATAAGATAAGAGAAAAAGTATGTGAAAAGGAATTGATTAACCGAATTGGCAGGAAAAAATAAAAATTGAAGAACAATGATATGAATATATATATTATGACATAAAATAATATAGAAATATATATAGATGAGGAAAGAATATTGACACAATTAAAATGAAATGTATAAGTGCAATGTACATATAAATGGTTAAAAAAACTATTTGATAGACAATATTGAAGTTAACAAAAAAAAAAAAGAACAAGTTCCAAAGTTTGCAAAGAGTACGAAAATATTTATAGAAGAAAGTGAAAAAAATGCAAACATTCAAGAGCGTGCAAAATATATTAAAGTTAAAATTAATTAATATTTGTAATTTAGTAGGTTTATATAAATTAAAATGCCACATATTGTTGTGGCCACTTTACTATTTAATGGCATGTAAAATAAAATATCGATACGCATACATAGCGATCGTATCAGCGAGTCTATCAGATTGAGATTTATGGTCTCGCAACGAGATCCCGTTTTTAATTCGCCTGTTACGCTCGACGAGCTTTTCGCGCGACACGCAATAAACGAACGCGAGACGAGACGCGGAGTAATTGTCGATACAGCGAAAGGAGTGGCCCACCTTATTGCACTTAACACATCGGGTGGCGAACTTGTCCTCGTAACATCCGGCACAATAAATTTCCTGCTCGCGCGGGATGAAGCTCTTCGTGCCGATCGGATTCTTGCAGACCACGCAGCAGAAGCACTTCTCGTGCCACTGTCTGGTCTTGTACTCCATCTTCTTGGTGCCTGGAACATACGAGCGACGAAACAAGTTAGAAACAAGGTAGAATAGCAAACATTCAAATATATAGGATAATATATAAGTTTTCTTTAGCTTCCTTTTAAGATTTAAAATTCAATGACGTGTAATTTATATCAACAAATTTGTAAATTGAATAGAAGGAAAAATTATTATTATTCATCTGTACGTTATTATTTATTTTTAAAATATGATATAAAAAGACCGTCTAATGTTTTTTTCTATTTCTATTTTTATTTGTTATCTGCTTCTAATATTTAAAATAGTTCCTTCCTTCGTTTGTTGAATTTATATTCTGTCAATTGTGAAAATGGAACGCTCGTTTTTTTTACTGGCCGCGGAGGACTGTCCATTCCCAAAAAAAGAATGCAAATGCAAGTATAGTAGGGATTATTAGTTCGCGTTTTAGCGTCCAGACGAAGGGGTGATTGCGTGCGGCGACTGGCGGGCTGCTATGCCACAAATCGCAGTCGCATGCGATCATCGCGTGTTTCATCGTCCGAGCACTCTGCCCGAGCCACGACGAAATAAATTTTTCGTGAACTTCTTCGTGAACTCTCTATTGGGTATTCATCTATAAAATACCCCTTGTTGCAAGCGAGTTAGATCGATCCGGAATTTCCTCACCCTCGGTTTCTCGTCTCGCTTCATTCGGAACTCGTTCAGCCGTAGAAAGTATCGCGTTCCCGTTTTGTTTCTGCACTGACTCGTCTTTTATGATCCGCAATTAGCACGTGCACAGGTGCAAATAATCTCATGGGAATAAGAACGGCCGGAAGAAATTTAACCGCACTGCGGTTTTGAGACTTTGATTGGCGAACCGCGCTACTGTGGTCTGCGATGAATTAGAAAACTTATTATCTAGGTATATATAATAGAACTTTTGTTCAAAATGCTAAGTTAAATGTGGCTGTCTTTTAATAAAATGTTTCTTCAAAGTCCTTGGCATAATTTTTTCGTATCGAAGATATATTTCGGTATTTACATGCAAAGATAAAAACGCTATTCAACAATGTCAAAACGGTTCTAACATTAGAATTTTTTTCTAAAGTTATGTTACTTCACCGTGAAATTCTTGTTATAGCTAAAAATAAGACAATCTTGGTTGCTTGTTTTCGTTAAGATTAGGAATATTATGCGAGGAACGTGACGTGATGTAACGTTGTCCAACAGATGACTATTACCGTCTCATTATCGTGGTCACGTTTTGGCCCGTCACTCGAGAAACGGACAGATAACATTGAAGATCGTTGACTAGAAAACATAAAGTATTGTCTGCTATTTTGTCGAACTAATTACGTATTAAAATTTACACCATATTGATACAACAAGATAATGATTACAGTATTTTAATATTCGTATATAATATAACTCTATTATCGTATATAATCTAACTTCGTATATAATATAATAAAATATAGGATATGTCAGATTTTTTTAGACACTAAATTTAGGGCAATTTAGTTAAATGCTAAATTAGGTTAAAAAATTATTTAATATCTAAATTATTAAATATCTTTTTAACATTTTTATTTTTTGTGTTACAAATTCCATATATGTTTGCAAATTTATGAATTTTCTGAAATAATCATTTATCTTGTTTTTATCTTTAAATTTTATTATACATCGCATTCATATTTACTTCTTATTTAATCAAAATATATATTATGTTGTATAATTTTTTTTCTCTTTGTATAAGTTTTCTCTTTGGAATAAATTTTTTATTATGTTTCAAAACTTTTGAAATGTAAATGTATCCATAAATATAGAATAAAATTTAATGTTACACAATCAAATTTTTTTACACGGACTTTCGAACGAAATAATGGGTAGGAGTTTATTTTTTTGCATTTTTTATTTTTCCTGTTGTGTCTGAGAGACAAGAAGACGAATTAATAATATCTCTTTATTTTCGAAAGATGATCTAAGGCTCGGTAAAACGACACACTTAAATGTGACTTTAAGTATAATAACGCGTCTCATGAATCATCAGCTTAATCCTAAATGTTTATGAGATAGGATCATGAGAGATGGCAGTTTTGGTAACGATCGAAAAGCTTGAAAATATTTAAGAACTTTTTTCTCATGAAAATAAATTTATGAAAACAAGCAAGAATGTATTTCTGAACAAAACACTTCAACACAGCAATTTTTTCTAAAACTAAATCTAAAGTCTTTCCTTAAGTGAGTTCTTCAATGTATTTGAAGAACATTCGTAACCATATCGGGAATAGCATCTATTTTCTTATATCGACATAAGTGTCGGTAATTGTCTCCATCATCACTGATGGGGATAGTGATTAATGAATAATGCGCAATATCTGTTTAATACCACTTTGTTAATTATCGCAAGTGGATTTATTAAATTATTCATTATTCGTCGCTAAATGCTCGTGTTGTGTGTGTGTGTGTGTGTGTGTGTGTGTGTGTGTGTGTGTGTGTGTGTGTGTGTGTGTGTTTTGTTCAATCTAGTTTCCCAATTATAACTAGAACGCTGTCTATTTGTTAATAATTATTCATCCGTTCATTACTCGTCCATTACATTATTTAAGCAATTACATCTTGTTCACACATTAAATACACATTAATTATATCATAATAATTAACTTGAAATTATAAAATCAGAAATATTAAAGTAAAATCCCATTCAGTTTACGTTCATCATTTATGCGTCAAATATTAAAAAATAATTTATTTTATGTTTCAATAGGGATTTAACATAATCCCTTTTCGAGAGATATGCTAAAGATGGACATTCTGATATCCGTGTATCTTTGGTACATGATATATCGTCTCCTGGACCATTATGACTCAAGATTCGTGACGTCACGTCAGCAGGCAATACCTCCGTATATGTATAAAGCTGATGGCCCAAGGCCGATGGGGTAATCTTATGCGCGTCGCGTGGTAAATTGTAAATTATTCGCACTATGAACGGTGCGTTCATATTAAAAATTTATATACTTTCATCAATATAAATATGAAACATACTTTTATATACAATTTTACATCATTATTTTTTTAATTTCCTAGGATGTGCATAATATTTAAATCAACGATATTTTACGAGATTTCTTGAACATTTAAATAAAAAATCTGACAAAATTGGTTACGGAATAAATATAAAATAAATATAAAATAAATCATTTCTATGTATGTATGTATGTATGTGTGTGCTCAAAACAATAAATTTAAAGGTATGGACGTTTAATGTTATAAGTTTTCGTATTATACGTTGATAACTCATGCTTCTTGATATGACACGTGTTAACCATATGGAATTGCACCTTGTTGACAAGAAATACGTTCTGGACAAGAGATGCGCTTTAAAACCTACTTAGGAAATGTCATTCACGCTTTTAAGTGACTTGTTCGTTCGTCACGGTAATGAAGCATCATTTGACACCATGACGAAAGATTTTTTTATTACCGTAGATAAATGCCATTTGAAAATCATCGTACTACGTCTTCTCTTATGTGAGACGCAATATCGCGAATTTTATAATATAATCTTCTTGCGATTGTTAATATAAGATACAAAAAAGTATTCCAAATCATTGAATAGCCATTTAATTGCTGTTTCTTTAGGCAGCAATGGATCTGTTATGACTTGCTCGTTCCTCCTCGATCGCACGAGTAAAAAATTCAACAGGAATACCGTCTATTTCCGTAACTGTGGATGCCATCATTAATTATCGTCTTTCTCCTCCTTCGACCATCCGCCGATCGTTAACACGATCGTTCAGATAGACTTCATGAATATCATTCATCAAATTGGTAACGTGTCCTCCTAAGCTGACTCTGTCTCGAGGCGGAAGCTGCCTCCTCTTTTCTGCGTCAGGTCTAAATATAATTCAACGAGAAGCAGAAGCTACCGTGGTCCTAAAATTTCGTGACCCAGGCAAACTCTGTTCGCCAAACGAAGCGAAATTCAACGATCAAAGTTGTAAACTTTGCCTATCTCGTGCCCACGAAACTATCCAACTAACTATTTGCTTCTGTTTTATTTTTAATTTTGTGACGTGCCTCTTTCATTTTTAACTGATTAATGATACTCTATAAATAATCTGTAACTATATTCAGGATACAAGCGAGTAATGTCAGCATTATATTCTCCTTCATTTGAGTCATTAATCCGGCCGAAGTAACAACTATATACAAGCAATTAAACGTTGCATATCTGCATTCATATGCAAATGAGACACGAATTTCACATTAGAGATCGGACCTACGGAAGAGACCGCGACTCGATAATGACACGTTTATTTGGACATGCCGCATCGATTGATATTCAAACACGAACAATGTATCGATGGTACGATCTGTTGCTGCGCAGCAATTGATGATATCATTCATATTAATACATCGATATCAAGACTCTTATCCAAATGGAATCATGTTTTTGATGATATGCGATTTCGATAATCCCGCAGAGAGGTAACTGCATTGATCGTCAACATTTTTTTTTTCCATGCAAGTCAATTCATCCGTACATCGATCCTTTCTTTTTACGACTTCGGTAATACGACGTGTACAAACAAAACGGTATATTACAAATTGCACAATTGTCTGTGTCTCTCGAAATACAGAGTCAGTAATACATGTTAAAAGTTCTGGCAAGGCATAAAGGAACGAGTTACAAATTTTTTTTGCCGCAAAGTTTTAAACATGCTGTCGCGATGTTGAACTTTTTCATCGCACCAAAGCGAATTCCGAGATATTTCACAACGATTCTGCGTCAATCATTGTGCATGATCCCTGACAACGTCCGATTACGTATTCGTACGAACAAATTACATTGTGTCAGAATATGTACGTTCTTTTAAATGTTGTATTATGTAATTAAAAAAAATATTATCCGATAATGTTATTATAATATTATCCAATTTTATTATGAAATGCTTGCAATCATTTTTCGCCGATTGTTTTCTTTTATTAATTATTAGGAATTAACTGCAGGTGTGTGTGTGTGTGTGTGTGTGTGTGT